GGAAATTTGAAAAGAGTATTAAAAAATTTGATAGACAGAACTTATATATATATATATATATATATATATATATATATATATATATATATATATATATATATATATATATATGTATATATATATATAATATGAATATACTGCTACTAACAAGCAGGAATATTTTTCTCCTGATGATGGCTATGCTGGACGAAACTAGTTGAGGAACCGAATTGAAATAATAAAATAAAAAATATTAATATGCAAACCCAACGTGTCCGAAAATTTTAATTTTTAATATTTTTTTATTCTTCAAAGCATATCTCTCTCTCTCTCTCTCTATATATATATATATATATATATATATATATATATATATATATATATATATGAATAAAAGAGAGTATAGGAATAACTATTCTTAGCCAGCGCGTTTCGTCCTCGTTCATTTTGTTCCTTCACAGATACTATATGTCTGAAATTTTTTTTTTTTGTGTGTGTGTGTGTGTGTGTGTGTGTGTGTTGGTAAAATTCAATGTCGGCACTCTCAAGGATTGTCCGTCTAAATAAGTTACTTTCTCTTTCATTAACTGTGACATTTTTAAATGAAAGTTATGGTTTAACTTATGGTTTGTCTTTTATGTATGGCTGGTGAATTTGAGAAATTGTTGTGTATAAGATTCTTTTTGTTTTCCTTTTTTCTTTTTTTTAAAATAATTCTGCTAGTTTCCCCAATATATTATAACGAACATTTGTGATAGTTTATTTTATACCTGCTTCAGAATTAATATTCTTATTGGTATTTTTGGTTGTGAGTATATCCATAATAGTTTATGATTTAGTTGTAATTATTTTGATTTTATTACGATTGGATACATTGTTTGGGGGATCTTAATTGTTAAGCAGTTATTAGGTAGTATTATATGTCTGCTTTGATCTAATTCATTGTCATTGTTGTTGTAATATTCCTTTTAAGAAACACGAACACACACATACACATACGCACATACGTATACACACATACATATATATATATATATATATATATATATATATATATATATATATATATATATATATATGTGTGTGTGTATATATATAAGTGTTCGTCGCCTTATTCGAGCCTACCTGCAATATACTATATGTATAACAAATCTTTCACCTTACTTCCGCCGCATTTGTGTGTGAGCGGAAATCGGAACTGGTGATAGCATAAACAGGAAATGTATCCGATGGCTAAAACAAACAGGACGCAGAGGTGTCCTGACCCTTGAATAAACAAGTTGTATAGGGGACATACTGGAAGAATACGTAGCCACGTGAAGTTGCGTAGGTGTCCAAATTTTATTTAACCGCTCCGTTGCTTGATCTGGGTGAGCGGTTGGCTAGAGGTTCATCGAAGATGTATCTGTGTCAATTCCTGTGCGCAATCCTAACCTCTTTGATTCTCCCTCATTCTACCCATTCGCCATAACTCGAACAATATATATATATATATATATATATATATATATATATATATATATATATATATATATATATATATGTGTGTGTGTGTGTTCGCTGCCTTATTTGAGCCCACCTGCAATATACTATACGTATAACATAAAGATCCATAAGCGATGAGTAATTTGTCAATTTTTATGTGGTCGATTGTTCTGGTTAAATACGACATACTACAGATATCTCCCCTGATTCGCTAAAAAACTTAGAATACCTTGATGAAATATGAAATAATATAAATTTGTCACTTAGAAGATTGATGCTATATTGTGCACCCCGACTACAGAATTTTGTCGACGGACATTTTTGTAATCGTTCGGTTCACTCGTCAGGAGATATCAGCACATATCGAAATTTGTCATTTTTATTTATTTTATATTTTTATATATTTCTCTATAAACCATCTAAAATATGATTTTATAAGTATATAAAATCATGACAATATTTCTTTCTTTTCGTATTTATTAAATTTGTATTCATATACATTGATGTTGATCGGAAATATTCACTTTGTAATATTTGATCTGTCTGATCGATATTCGCCACTGAATTAAGTGCAGTGAGACGGAAAGAGATTATGTTTAAAAATTCGTTTTATCTGGTTGGGACTTTGATGTTCTTTGTGAAGGCGACCTTTTAGTCAGTTTTCTCTTGTGCGTAGAACAAGGCATAGGCAACCTTCATCGAACAGCGGACCGCATAAGATAGATACAGTACATCATAAGGTAGGCCGCATTACTAAAAAAGAAACTAAACAAAAAAAAAAAAAAAACGAAAATCTGATTCCGCAGCCTTTACCCCAAAAGAAGGCTACGCACATAAGCTTCTGTCTTAGAAACGAGGCAAAAGTTCAATATTTTTTTTCTTTGGAGAAACGATTCCTTCTAGGAATATATTCTAGGAAATCATTATCTAATATTATATGAGAGAGTGATTAACACACACCGCCGTCTTTTGATTTGTTTGTAGTTTATTCCTTTGACTGTACAAAAATATTTGTAAAAGAAGAAATATATTTATTCTCTAGAAAAAAAAAAAATCACTGACGTCTCCTGAAGCAAAAGATGTTTACACGTATGATCTTCCGTAGTGAAAATCGCCAATGGTTTAAAATGCTGACAACGTTATCTTCAGCGTTGTACTTACTCATTATTTATGCATGTCGTTATCAGTGTCGGATTTACCTATAGGCTTAGCAGGCTGAAGCCTAGGGCCTCAAAATCCAGATGGGGGGCCTCCGGCCAAGGTATATAATATTTTTGCTGCTGTCATAAGCCTTTCTTACACATGATGTCATAATGCACTGTAGACTCTAAATAACCCTTCAGTAGTTTTAAATCCCTGTCATCATTCTCGACCTTTGCTCAAATTAATTTAACACTCCTTCATTCTCCTCTACTTAGGAGAATGGGAAATTTTGGAGGGGCCTCACAAGTGGAATAGCCTCGGGCCTCTCTCATTCTAAATCTGGCCATGGTGGTTATGTGCGAGAATCTGTGAGTGAACAAGTGAGAACGAAACGAAACAATAATAAAAAAATCATTTTAATAAACGCTATTTTCTTCATGAAATTAGACGTGCCGCCCAGAAAGCCAATCGAGTCGCATGTGGTCCATGGACAGCAGTTTGCACTTGGCTTGGTTAGAACGGTAGCATTCAGGTTATCAGAGCCGGGTTTATCACGGTCGAATTGTGAAGGTGGTTCAATATCGAACTGGAGAGACGCCACTTGCGTATATAGAAAAAAAATTAATTAATTTACATTATTTACATCGTTCAGACTGTTTGTTGTCCTCACCTTTATTGCTATATTCACAACGTTTCAACGAACGAAACGTCGTGAATATGGCAATAAAGATGAAGACAACAGTACGAACGATGTAAATAGTTGCAATATCTCATCTCAGAAATAGAGACAAAATTAATTAAATATTATATTAAAAATAATGTATCTTTTCTTCTCGGCGAAAATATAATATACCGTTTACAGGTGATAGTTGAGGTGCGTATTATAAATAGGTTTAAACAAAAATATTTATTATTGATTTATAATAATAAATACGTACTTGTTGCTCTAAAATAAGAAAGATATTATCCCAATTTTCATTTTAAATCCAACAATAATAATTGTAACATTTTTTTGTCAATAAATTTATGTTTGTCAGTAACCGCTTTTTTATTTGGCGAAAAAATAAAAAAAAATCTATAAAAAGACAAATTTCGAAGAAATGAAAATATCAAATTAAGTAAATTTTGTTCCATATCTGAATATTGAGTTTTTCTACCTTTACTTATAGCTTTGGCACTTGATTTAAACTTTTTTAGTTCATCTATATCTCCCTAAACGTATGTTAGCCTCATTCAACTCATATTCTCCAGCTACAGATCTGTTTCCTATTCTTTCTGCTAATTCTATTACTTTTTGCTTAAAATTTGCACTATAACTCGCACGTTTTGACGACATTTTGGCGGTAAAATAAAATGTTATATTTATCGGTAAAACCGCTGGTAATTTTCAACATTATTTTAACAGCTTAATTTCGATTTTATTCTTAATGTCAAGGTCGACAAAATGTCTTCATTATTATTATTATTATTATTTTTACAAAATTTATAGATGCGTATTATACACAGGGATAGATATATTTCTTAATTTCTGCATCATTTGTTGGGGGTGTGTATTATTTATGGGTTCGTATTATATTCGAGAAATTAAGGTGATTAATATATATTATATATTATAATTAATTAATATTGTATTAAAAATACTATTTCTTACCGACATTCTCTTCTGTTTCTGAGAAAGATGCGCGCGCATAAATACTTTTTTATGAAATTTATATTAGTGGTTAAACCAGGCCATTTCCTCAAAAGAAAGCCATGCGAATAAGCTTCTGCTTTCGAAATAAGGAAAAGTAGGATTTTTTTGCTTTGGAGAAAAGATTCCTCGAATTAATAATAATTAAAAAAAAAACTGAAGTTTTGTTCTAATATTATTCCTAACAACAGAGTGATTAACACACACTGTTGCCTGTGATTTATTTCTCCTTTATACAAAAAATATTTGCAAAAAATAATATATATATTTATTCTCTAGAGAAAAAAAAACATCATTAACCTCTCCTGTTTCTAGAGCAAAAGCTGTTTCCACGTTTGATCTTCCTTAGTGAAAATCTCCAATAGTTTAAAATGCTAACTTCAATGAAAAATTATAAAATTCAAGAAACATTGTACTTAATCGTTGTTTATATATGTAGCTATGCGCGAGAGTATGTGAGTGAACAAGTGAGAACGAAATGAAACAAACATTTTAATGGACGTTATTTTCCCCTTGAAATTAGGTGCGCCATTTAGAAAGCCAATCGGGCTGCATGTGCCCCGTGGGACGCTGTTTGCCCAAGACAGTAATTTCAATGGGAAACACATCGCTAATAATGAACTAGGATTACCTACAGAGGCTAAAATAAGTTCATTTTAGCAGCGTTTTTAACAATCAAAACTAAAAATCAATCTAATAACAG